TCAAGCTTAGTAACTAAGATGTATTTCAGTCTAAAAAAATATGAAATTTCAAGCAGACTAAAGACTCACCCTACCTTGTTGAAATATTGGTTGATAAGAAAGAAATGGTGTCCAGCTCGTTAAAATGGCAGAGAAAACCACTAGGGGGACATTTTGAGCTTCTGATTGGTTATTCATGTCATATATATAAGTAAGTGTATATATGGGCATTTTTCTAAAAATGGAACAAGGTGAGCGGGGTGCCACTGTGTTTGATTTATTAGGTGAGCAATATCTTAGCAAATAGAAAAGATAAGACCTTCTTGTTTTATATTCTAGCTTGTCAATATTGGTAATTTGATTTTCTAATTCGTTCAAAACTATATACTTAGTATTCTGACTTCACAAACATCTAATTTGAACCAGTGCTGCATTCAACATACCATGTGACACACAAAAATCGATGTTTATCTTTGTTTTTTTAATATTTGCTTTTAAATTAAGAAATTGAGTAATATATAGTACTAAAATTGAATTATAATCTACAGTTTGATACCAAACTTATTGACACAAATTCATGAAATAGTAGTTTAATAAAATTATGAATGAGAGTCAACAAACGAGATGACATGGCCTTTCACCCGTGACCCATCTCGAAAGGGTTGACTTCTCACTTGGCTTCTGAGTAGTAGATTAGTGCTGTTTCCCATAAAGAATACGGAGTCATATGTATATATATTGAACTGTTGTTGTTTTTTTCAGCTTCTGAGTAATAGACAAGTGCTGTTCCATATAACAAAGGAAGAGGTGATATATTAAATTCATTTTGTTACTGAGTAATACACATTGCTTGAGATAACAGAATATATGAAATCACCTATTGAATATCCAGTTACATTCTGAACAACAAACAAGTGCTGTTCAAATAACAAAGGATACGGAGTCATATACAAGTATTAACCTCTCACTAAACTTTGGAGTAATATACATAGTGATGCTCTACATAAAGTATTTGGAACCATATAGTAAACTTTCGAAGGCTACTGAATGGGGACCTTTCTCATTCAGAAACATGAATTTTGCATTAATCTTTCATTTTTACTTTCTGTGATATAAGCAAAGGAATGGGTGTTTGACACATGAAGGTGGACAAAGCAAAATTTGTTTTGGAAATAGCCAAAATACATCTGAATCGTAGATAATTTGAATAGAAAATTTAATTTTTTTTTTTCATTTTCAGGAGGAAAAACAACTCATTTGGCAGTTCTGATGAAAAACAAGGCAAGTTGTGTTTATTTAAGCTGTTGCTTAAGGACATATTAATCTCGTACATACATACATACATACAGAGATATATGTAATGTTACAGAGAAAATTTCAGGAAAGACTCAATTACTGTGGCTCTTTGCTAAAACAATAACCATGCTTGGTATCTAATGTAGGATAATAGTTAGTATTTTATCATTATTAAGGAAATGCTAGTATCAAGAGCTTGTAGTCATTATTAACTTGTTTTGTACATAATAATTGATTTAAGTATGAAAATATTTAAAAGTTAGCAAAGATCATTTTCACATGATCTAGCCACTAAAAAACAAAACAAGAACTGTGACAAAGATATGGTTTTCAAAGGAAAGAAACTTTCCTAAATTGGGATGTTCAGGGATATTGATATTGCAATTAATTAAATAATGTTCCTTTGAATTATGTTAAAAACTGTCAGCAAGTATTTATGTTGGTGATGTTGGAAATCGATAAAAGTACAGATGAGAAGTGTAAACAGAAAACTATTTGAAACTAAAAACAAAATTATGCTTGTTAAAAAATAAGTAATGTTTCAAAGTTTGTTCATATTCAAGACTAACTGAAGAAAATATGAATATACCACAAGAAATTTCATACATTTTCTGGATGTAATTTCTTTATGTGCTTAAAACATTTCGTGTTATTCCAAAATGTGGAAGAACATGATTTTAATCTTAAAAAAGATTTAATCTGAGAAACTTGTTGAAAGGCACTGCTTAAAAAATGTATGGGCAAACATTTAAGCATTTCAGTTCTGAAGTTTGAAAGAGCTCTTGGCTAGTGTGATACAAGGCTCTTTTGCATACAAAGTAAAGAAAAACAAATATAACTGTTTTTACTTACATTTTAAGGACTATACTTGTATCTTCATTCACCATCAATATGTTTCTTATTGGCAGGGTACTATTGTAGCTCTGGACAAGTCTAAGTATAAGATTCAGCGCCTTTCCGAAAACATTCAAAGACAAAAATTTTCTAATGTATTCACATTTGCCTGTGACTCCAGTAAAGCCCTGGAGTGTGGGAAAACTGGTTTTGATGCTTATATAACAAAGAAAACTGGTAAGGTAAAGTCCTTGTTTTCCCTCTAGATAGGGAATTTTACTATTTTAGAGCAGAGTGTTGTTTTTGGAATTAAGTCTAATTTTGTTTCTTGAAGTTTTTAAATGTTATGTAAATAAGTATTCTGCACAAATGTTCAGTGAAGAAACTGCTTCAATTTTATATTTATTCCAGGATTTAACATAACATACGATTTTGGGATAACATGGGACCTATTGGTCTGTCTCAGCCATTCCATCCTCAAAAGTAAATTAAAATGATTAAAAAAATAAAATAAAAAATATTGAATCCAGCCCTTTTCATTCATATACTTATCAAGCTTTTTCTTAAACTCACTTAAATTTGCTGCTTCTACAACATTTGAAGGCAACCCTTCCAAAGGCCAACCACCCTGTTAGAAAAATAAAACTGTTTTGTAGCTGAAGATGACTCCTACTTACTAAAATTTATATTTGTGTCTCCTAGTCCTACTAATCTAATTTTTAAATATAAAAAAGATGATACATCAACACTATCAATTCACTTAACAATCTTAAACATCTCAATTAGACCCCCCTAACTCTTCTTTTTTCAAGAAAAAACAATTTGAGAGATATCAGCCTCTCGTCATATGACAACTTCTCCATCCCAGGCACCATTCTAGTAACCCTTTCCAACAATTCAATGTCCTTCCTAAGGTTAGGAACCAAAGACTGAAAACAGTATTCCCAATGTGGCCTAACCAGTGACCTGTACAATGAAAGTATACCTTCTTTAGACTTGTATTCAGTATTTTTATAGATACAACCTAAAATCCTATTTGCCCTACCACTAGCAACAGCACACTGCTTGGATGGCTTTAGAGACTGATTGACTGTTACACTGAGACCCCTTTTCTTCATAATACTATTAAGGTTATTCCCATCCAAATTGTACTTATAATTC